CAAACTTGCATTTTTTTTTTTGCGAATGCTTCCCTTGTTCATTTTTTTTAATTTTGTTTAAAGAATGCACCTGAATGAAAGGCACCAAGACTATGCTCTAATGCTTTACCAACGATGGTTATTCGAGTACGCACTTGAATAGTCTCACTTTCGCAACGCTGCTTGATTTTGTGGTTCATAGTGATTTTCATTTTGATGTTTTCACTTTTTAATTTCTTGACACATTTTAGGAATTCTAAAGAATAATTTCCACTGGCGTCGATTCAACGAAGTCATTTCCTATATAAATGGGAACTCTATCTAATTTTTTTTTTTTATAATACAAAAATCTTCTTAAGTTGAAATATAATTTAATTTAGTACTTAGCGATTGAATCATGCCGGAAATTATTGTACCAATATGTGGGGTGACGCCAGAGAAGCTTTTGACGAAGCAGCAATACAAGGTGGATACCATTTCACAGAGCATGTTCTCTCTTGCGACCCAGAAGGATAAGAAACTTATCATCCCCCCCACACTTCTCCAAGGGGTGACGATTGGCCAACTGTGGGATACCATATTCGAAGGCGCCGCATTCCTCCAAACCTATCACGAAAGGCGAAAGGCAACCGATATTGTGGTTTCCCCTTGGGAGTACACCACGGATTACAGCAGCGGCTACCGTTTTCTGACGTTGATGATGTTGGTGGATGTGGTACGATCCAACACGCTTGCCCAATTAAACGAAGTCCACCGCTTTGCCTACACCAGCAGTCTTGACAACAAACGCATTCTGGCGTACCAGATATCCTCCCAAATCCCGAGCGTCCCGGCGGGTACGTCTTTTCGCACCGAGTCCTTGCTGTGGATTACGGCGGACTCCGCCACGTCGGACTGCGATATCGCGATTTGGGGAAATTGTAAGCGAATGTCGCTCGCCTTTTCTGCGATTCAATACCTCGTACTGCCGCGCGTGTTGAAGGAGATGACGGTTTGCTATACGCTGATGTTAACCATCATCGCGGAAAAGCTCTGCCAGGATAAAGTCGTTTCCATGCCACCCCTCCAGGACAGCGAGGGAAGTGAGGATAACTCATCCCCCGAGCAATCGGGCTTCGACAACAAGCCCGGGGGGCGCATTTTCGATCTGAGTTTGAGCACTTTATTGCACGCCACTTTACTTCTCCTGGCGCTGATGGTGAGTTTGATACTTTTGTGGTCCATTTCTTCCATTCGTGATGCCTCGCGGGAGGTGGCGAGGGTCTCGCATCTCATGCGGATGCGGGATGAGGCGGTGGGCTGGGCGGGATGCGCACAAGGCCTCAAAACTAATCCCGTTTGGGGTAAAAAAGACGGCGGGACGACGGCAGGGGGGCTCACGGAGGAGGATGTTTTGCTTGCCGCCGCGCGGGAGGCCCAGGTGAAGATGCTGCGTGCTCATTTATTGGAACAGCGCGGCATCATCTTACAAATGCAAGGATCTATGCAGTGGATGCGCATCGTGATGTACAGCCAATGGGTTTTGTTCGTAGCGCTTGTTTTTAAGAAATATTTTGTTAGTTGTTTTTCATAAGAACTACCTTTTTTTTAAAAAAATTAAGTGATCAAAATTTTTTTGGCTTGTCCGATGAGGGCCTCTCTTTAACGATGACAAGGTGAAACGGCAAGTACACACACAAGCCACCGATAGGGAGTTACGAGGTCTATTCCCTAGCTTGCATATCTAGGCAGCTTTTCAGAAAATTAAGAATGGGCTTTTTGACAGATTTTCTTTTACACTATCGTAGCTATCGTGTTTAACAAGTAAAATTCTCAAGCAAACTTGAAATTTCAATAGATAAATATCATCAAACGCACACACTAATGCGCCCATCTTTGATTCCTTCTAACTGTATTACTAATTCATGCATTCTGAACCAAAAAGTGGTTTTATGCTATTGTTATCAAGATGGGTTTTAGTTATGTGCTTCTGTTTTTCAATTTATCTCAATAATTTATGTTTCTAATTACTCCATAGAGAACGAGATGCTTGAGCCTTAGTTCTACTTAAATTTGAGGGCGTCGATCCTTTTCAGCGTGCAGTTCCGTTTGGTATATTGCTGAACACGGTTTACCTCGGTTGATTTATCCAAAGCATGTTTCGATGCACAAGAATGCCTCAATATTTCGTATGTCGATACGGCCTCTGTTATTCACATCCTTCAATATTCACAGGGCCGGTCTCTACACGTTTTATTGTCTTTTTTTTGTGTGTCGAAACGCTGGTAAAAAGGGCTTTTATTGTTGTTGTTGTTGTTGTGTGTGTGTGTGTGTTGTGCACTTTACATGTTCTTCCATTATTTTCCAATACCCTATTGATTCCACTTCGTAGTGTAACCCCCCCCCCCAGAAAAAAAGACGGAAATTATGTTTCGTATGTCCATTTACCTCGCGGCGCACGCGCGCTCTCGCGGCGGCGGACGGCTCCCCCGCCCCGGCAGCTCCCTTCTCAACCCGTCCAGCCAGCGCGCCCGACTGCGGAAGGCGATGCAGGCCCACCAACGCCATCGCGCGGAGTTCGAGCACCACGCCGTCTTCGCCAATCTCGGGGAGAAGACGGGTTCGCGCGCGCGCGATCGGGCCGCCCCGGGGGTTTTTGGCTCCGAGGACGCGGGGAAGGGCGGGGTGCCGCCCCCCCCGGGCGGGGATGCGGAGGAATCCTCCGGATTTCACCTCGCGGAGCAGGCCAAATACCTTTCTGACCCCGAGTGGGAGGACGTATCCCGCTTCGCG